CCGCCACCAGCCGCTGGAATGATCCAAGCTCTGAGGGCCGCGTGCAGCAGCGGTCCGGCGCACCAGCGTGCCCCGCCCGCCACACGCCTGGATCTTTATTGCTGGCCTTTACTTTGTCAGGGGCGCCTTTCATTTGGGGGGAGGAGGGAGAGGTTGCAAGAAAAAGAAAGGACACTCAGTGCACATTCCCTGCACTCCTCAGCCCAGGTGTGTGGGAGCAGGGACCCTGATTCTCCACCAACGACGGCTTCTTCTACAGTTCAGGAGCCCTGGGCAGGGCAACAGCTGGGACTCCAGAGACCAGGTAGGTTCCCACCCCTGCCACCCTCAGGTTAATGGACATGGACACCTCACCTTGACCTCTGAATCTCAATGTCCCCATCTGTAAAATGGAGATACATCTGCCCTAGCTCCCTCATCTGGGTTTTGCATGAGCCTGGTTGGCCAGTCTAGAGGAAGAACTCTGTGATCTAGGGGTCAAAGCGTCACCATGGTCCACCTGGGCCCAACCATCTACCTGGGATCCATGATCCATCCTTTCAGACCCCTCCCACCTGCTGGAGATGTGGCATTTTGCTGGCCCTGCCCTCTTCCCTCTGACTCCAGCTCAAATCTACAATGTGTTTCCCCTCCGTCACATTGTGGTATGCAAAGTTTCCCTCCTCCTTGCAGTCTGGGATCTTTCTCATCTATTTCTCAGTATCACTCATTTTAACACAGTTTTTTCTTTTAACACTTCTTTAAAACTTCAGTTAATACACATGTACATGCACACCTGTGCACAGACATATGCTCCCACACAATTCTAGACTTGGGTTTTTCTTTATTGGGCATACATTCTCTAAACACAGCCCTTGCCATGCCACCCCCCAGCTTTCCATGATATGGTTCTCAATTTTCAGGCTGTCTCTTCCTACAACCTAGTCTCCATGGCTCAGTCACCCACCTTTCTCATCTGACAGGGAAATGGGAGAAAATAGTGCAGGACAAATCCATCCCTATTCATTGTAGCTGGGAATAGCCCTGAGACGTTCTTGGTTTATGATGGCTGTTCCTGAATGACAATTCACAACACCACTCTCACTCAGAATGTGTCCTGTTCTGGGCAATGAATACCATGTCATCCCAGGCTATTAGCCACAGAGAAAACAACCATCACTGCTCGGTGTCATGGGTCAGAGATTTTGCAGGTCTGGGGTCTTTCTCAAGCTTGAGGACCTGCCCTGACCTACCTTTGGTTTCGGTGGAGGTTTCTTTGGCTCTTCCTTCAACTCTTTCCACAGTGTGGTTTCATCAACATCTATGACTACGATTTCACAAATGTGACCATCCTTCTGTAATCAGAGGTTAAAAGGGGGAGAGGTGTGGGTAGGTTGTTCTTTGTATAACTTCATGCCAAGTCCACTACATCCTTAACCTCCTGGCTTGCCCAGAGACCAGAGATGTAGGGCTGGCACTCTGATTAAGTGTGAAAGCCCTCCTCCCCCTTCCTGCAACTTTGGGTGGCCTGTCTGTCTCTTACACAAAATCGAATTCCCATGACTTGGAGATAGATGGTTCAACTCCTCAGGTCTGCAACCCCTTAAATTGCCCATGGTTAAGGGCTAGATGGCTTCATCATGCTCAGGTCTGGACTCCTCCTGCCACAACTCTGGCAGGAAGAGTGGAGGAGAGGAGAGAGTGATGATGTCATAAGGGAACTTATGACTCAGGCACCAGGATGGCTTCCAACAGCTGAGTCCTTTTTAGTGAAAATAAGGAACATTTGTTCATTTTTTCCCATAGCAATGGCCAAAATTTGGCTACAAAAGCAAGGCACTGGAAATACTGGCTCATCGGCACAAACATTAGTTAGTCTGGTTGATAAAAACATAAAATTGAGACCATTTAAACCTCCATCAATAAGGAATTCAATTACATAGATTTCAGTTCAATCAAACAATGGAAGGAACCAAATAACAAAGAGAAGGAATGAGTTGGAAGCAAAATTCTTAAACAGGTGCTCCATAAAAGGAGATTTACTAATGATTAAACAGCACATGAAAAGATGCTCACCATTATTAGTCATGAGGGAAATAAAAGTGAGAAGCAAAATGAGATACCCCAGAACATCCTAGAGAATGGCTAAAATAAGAAATAATCTCAGCACTAAACATTGGGGGGATACAAAATAGCTGAACCTCTACACACTGCTGGTGGAAAGGTATGAAGCAGTAGAACCACTTTGGAAAATGGTTTGGCAGTTTCTAATGATGTTTGACATGCATCTACCCTGTAAATCATCAGTTCCATTGCTAAATATTTGCAGATGAAAAATGAAAACCCATGTCTACAAAATATATGCACGTGAATGCTCATAGTAGCTTTTCACAAATAGATAAAAACTGAAAACAACCCAAATGCCCACCAACCAAGTGACCAGACAAAGAATTAGTGACATATTCGTGTAATGGATGTTCAGTAATATAAATGTTCAATAATAAGTGCTGAATAATAAAAATGAACACACTGATACACAGAATAATATAGATGAATCTCAGAAACACGCCAAATGAAAGAAGCCTGACATAGAAGAGTATCTACAGGATGATCCCATTCATATGGAATTCTAAAACAGGCAAAACTAATGTACAGAGAAGATAAATCAAACAGTGTTGTCTTGTGTGCTT